GTTTGGCACAACCACAAAAAGTTTGGAGGCCAGGGGATGCCATTTACATTTTCACCATTAAAATGACATTCAAAAAGCTGAAGTTGCAATAAAATACAATGCTGAAGTTGCAATAAAATAATTGCTACTGTCCATCTTAGCTCAATGGTGATGTTGTTTTCCTTAACAATTAATTGTTATGGAATTTTGGCTAAATGATGGACTATTTTGCACCAACTTTGGTGCAACTTCAAAATTCACTTGCAAATTGAATTTGATGCCAAAGTGGAATTTCAAATGAGATTTGAATCAAAGCTGATTAAGCACTATTTGAAAAAAAAATGATTAGCTTAATCACAGAGGGTTACTGTAGCATGACACTAGGGGTGTTACATTAGCATTATGATCGTTACAGTTTCATTGCTACTGCTTTCTTCATGACTTATACATGTTCCTCCGACTATGAGATTATGCAAGTCCCGAATACCGAAGGAACACCTTGTGTGCTATCAAACGTCACAACATAACTCGGTGATTATAAAGGTGCTCTACAGGTGTCTCCAAAGGTGTTTGTTGGGTTGGTATAGATCGAGACTAGGATTTGTCCCTCCGTGTTTCGGAGAGGTATCTCTGGGCCCTCTCGGTAATACTTATCACTATAAGCCTTGCAAGCATTGTGACTAATGAGTTAGTTGCAGGATGAAGTATTACGGAACGAGTAAAGAGACTTGCCAGTAACGAGATTGAACTAGGTATGATGATACCGACGATCGAATCTCGGGCAAGTAACATACCAATGACAAAGGGATCAACGTATGTTGTTATGCGGTTTGACCGATAAAGATCTTCGTAGAATATGTAGGAACCAATATGAGCATCCAGGTTCCGCTATTGGTTATTGACCGGAAGTGAGTCTCGGTCATGTCTACATAGTTCTCGAACCCGTAGGGTCCGTACGCTTAACGTTCGATAACGATTTGTATTATGAGTTATGTGATTTGATGACTGAAGTTTGTTCGGAGTCCCGGTGAGACCACGGATGTGACGAGGAGTCTCGAAATGGTCGAGATGTAAAGATCGATATATTGGAAGGATACATTCGGACATCAGAAAGGTTCGGAGTGATTCGGGTATTTTTCGGAGTACCGAAGAGTTACGGGAATTCGATGGGGGAAGTAATGGGCCTTAATAGGCCATACGAGAAAGGAGAGAAGGGCCTCAAGGGGTGGTCCCCCCCCCCGCCCCATGGGCTGGTCCATATTGGACTAGGAGGGGGCGGCACCCCCCTCCTTCCTTCTCCCCTCTTCCTCCTTCCCTCCTTCTCCTACTAGGAATAGGAAAGAGGAGGGGAATCCTACTTGGACTGGGGAGTCCTAGTAGGATTCCCCACACCTGGCGCGCCCCCTGGGGCCGGCCACCTCTTCCCTCCCCTCATTTATATACGTGGCCAGGGGGCACCCCATAGACACACAAGTTGATTGTTTAGCCGTGTGCGGTGCCCCCCTCCACAAATTTCCACCTTGGTCATATCGTTCTAGTGCTTAGGCGAAGCCCTCCGTCGATAACTTCATCATCACCGTCATCACGCCGTCGTGCTGACGAAACTCCCCCTCGACCTCAGCTGGATCTAGAGTTCGTGGGGCGTCACCGAGATGAACGCGTGTAGACCGCGGAGGTGTCGTACCTTCGGTGCTAGGATCGGTCGGATCGTGAAGACGTACGACTACATCAAATGCGTTGTCATAACGCTTCCGCTTTCGGTCTACGAGGGTACGTAGACAACACTCTCCCCTCTAGTTGCTATGCATCACCTAGATAGATCTTGCGTGATCGTAGGATATTTTTTTGAAATTACTGTGTTCCCCGACACTCGGGAACCCCCTGACGTGAGACTGACGCCAAAAATTCCTATAAATCATGAAACCCCCGAAAAGAACTCTAGATCGGGAGTTCCGCCGCCAAAAGCCTCTGTAGCCATGAAAAGCCAATCGGGAGCCCATTCTGGCACCATGCCGGAGGGGGAAACCATCACCTCTGGCCATCTTCATCATCTCGGCGGTCTCCATGACGAGAGGGAGTAGTTCACCCTCAGGGCTGAGGGTATGTACCAGTAGCTATGTGGTTGATCTCTCTCTCTCTCTTCCCCTCCCTCCCCCTCTCTCTCTCTCGTGTTCTTGATTTGGCACGATCTTGATGTACCGCGAGCTTTGTTACTATAGTTGGATCATATGGTGTTTCTCCACCTCTACCTTCTTGTGATAAATTAAGTTTTACTTTTGAGGTTTCACTATTATCGGATTGAATACTATTATGGATTTGAGAACACTTGATGTATGTCTTGCGTGGGATACCCATGGTGACAATGGGGTGTTCTATTGATTCAATCGATATATGCTTTGGAACTTAACTCACGGATTCCCAAGGTGACATTGGGTTAATCTATGCATAGGGGTTGATGCATGTTTTCATCCTTTTGTTTCTCAGGTAGAAATCTTGGGGCACTCTTTGAGGTTCTTTGTGTTGGATTGAATATTATGAATCTGAAGTTGTTTGACGCATATCGTATAATTGACCCACGGATACTTGTGGTGACATTGGAGTATCTAGGTGACATTAGGGTTCATTGATGTGTATCATATGGTGTTATTTTACTACGAACTCTAGGGCTATTTGTGATACTTATAGGAATAGCTCAATGGATTGACCGGAAAGAATAACTTTGAGGTGGTTTCGTACCCTACAAGCAATTTCATCTTATGTTCTCCACGATAGGAACTTTGGAGTGACTTTTGTCGCATGTTGAGGAATTGTCATATGATTTAATTATGTTATCATTATTGAGAGAACTTGCACTAGTGAAAATATGAACCATAGGCCTTGTTTCCAAGCATTCAATACCGTTTTCGCTCACTTTTGTTACTAGTTACCTTGCTGTTTTTTTTTCAGATTACAAAAACTTATATCTACCATCCATATTACACTTGTATCACCATATCTTCGCCGAACTAGTGCACCTATACAATTTACCATTGTATTGGGTGTGTTGGGGACACAAAGAGACTCTTTGTTATTTGGTTGCAGGGTTGTTTGAGAGATGCCATCTTCATCCTACGCCTCCCACAGATTGATAAACCTTAGGTCATCCACTTGAGGGAAATTTGCTACTGTCCTACAAAACTCTGCGCTTCGAGGCCCAACGCGAGTCTAGAAGAAGAAGGTTGCGTAGTAGACATCACCATCCTGGAGCCACGTCGGATGATATGGACGCGCACAACCAGATTCTATCCAATCCAGATACCCTTCGGCAAGACCTCCGACAGTAGTTACGGAACACATCGACGGCTAGATCGAGAGGACCGGTCATGCACATCATTGCCATGATGGGATAACAGCACAAGGACCGTCACCACACCACTGCATCCACCATGTCGATGCCATCGCCACCATGGAGGAGGACACTGGCCCACACTATCCACAACCCGCGGCTCTAGGCGCTAGATCTGACGGAACTAGCACCAGCCGCCCCACCATCAGACAACGCCGGCCCGCCCCGCCGCCTTCGCAACGCAGCCCCCACCATGACCATGCATCGCCGCACCCAAGGCCCGACCGTCCGTGGCGCCGCCGCAATGCCCTGCGGGAGCGGCACGCTTCCCGCCCGCTCGCCACATCCCGCGCCATAGCCACCAGGGGAGGAGGGATAAGGGCCCTGCCGCCACCAACGCCAACTGGGCTTCGCCCGGCGGCGCCCTCCGGCAGCAGCGAGGGGAGGCGGAAGCTGAGAAGAGGTACGGGAGGCGACGGCTAGGGTTTCGCCAGCCGCCCACGGGAGCGACTTGGGTGAATCAGGCCCTTGTTATGAGTGTAAGCACTCATACCAGTAGTCATACCAGGCGCCCACGGCTCCGCCTCATATACAGGAACAAACTTCGTAAAGGGCATCAACGCATCAGAGAGACCCAGCCTCTGTCACCACTACTAGAAGAGAGGGTGAAGAGATCCGAGAAGAAGAAACACCAGAGATCATTTTCGTCTTTTTTCCCTCTTCGTTCCATTTCATCGCATCATCACCATTGTTAGAGGAATTCCAAGTTGTAAGATCAGGGTGTATAACTCTATTCATACTTATGTGAAGATTGAGACTTGTTTAAGCATTCATCTTATTGTGGATCCTCACGGTATCGATATGGTTTTCATTGAATCATACTCTATAGTGATTTGTTATCGTCTACGATTTAAGAATATAATGATCACCCCTAGGCGGTTGGTAGCACCTTCTTCTCTGTTGGCCACTGCTCGCTCCGCGGCGACGAGTTACTCATCAGCGGCGCGACACCCCATGAAGCTGACCGAAGGGCTTAGCTCGCGGCTCTAGGAGAGCCGGCCACGCTCCCACGCCCGCGTTGACCTCCATGGCACCACGACGCGCCTAGAGCTGCCGGCCTCCGCATCGTGCTGCCCACGCTTGCTCTGTGGCGACCCGACGTGGCCGCCATGACTTTCACCAGCACCGCCGGCCATCAATCTCGGTAGAAGGGGAAAAGTAGAGGAGAGGAGGGAGGAATTTCTCGCCGAAGCAAATGTAATCTAGCGATAGGGGATGAAATCATGACAGGGGGTTTCTGGGGGCTAACCATAAATGCTCAGGACACCGTATACTTTTCTATGGTCGGGCTAATATGCGGGGTCTGTTCGGCCCGCCGAAAACGTAAATCGTGCCGATCGGAATTTTTGGAGCCGGAGGCCTTTTACACGATCTTCTAGCTAGACGTGACGTAGCTAATCAAATCCCGTCTCAAAAAAAGAAAAGAAAAACTAAGCAAATCGGAATAAAATAAGTCCGAAAGATCCATAGAGTTCAGCCTCAATCCACCGAGAAATCCCCAATCTCTGGAGAACCCTAGACCCCAAATCCACCGAGTCCAGCTCCAGCCTCCCCCGATCCATTCCTACGCCCCTCCACCGGCGGCCGGCAATGGTGTGACCCGAGGTGCGCCACATCGCTCTTGGCTCCTGCTTCCATGGAGCGCACGCGGGGGCATCGGCGGCGAAAGCTCTCCGTCGCCGCCGGCGTCGGCGTTGGAGGTGGCGAGGACCGCCTCAGCGCGCTGCCGGACGACGTCCTCATCCACATCCTCCTCAAGCTCCGCGACGCCCCCGTCGCCGCTCGGACCAGCGTCCTCGCCCGCCGCTGGCGCCGCGTCTGGGCTCTCCTCCCGGAGCTCCATTTCCCCGTCGGCACTGACCCCGACCGCATCCGCGCCGCCCTCACCGCCCATGATGCGCCGGCCCTCCGCCATCTCTTCGTTGCAGGCATCGAGGCCACCCCCGAAATCGCTGCGGCATGGCTCCCCATCGCCGCGCGCCGCCTCTCTGGTGTCCTGCATTTCAAGAACACGGGGGGCATGAATGGTGCCTCCGCCGGGGAAAGAGGTACCTTGAAGTTGCCTTGCTTCGAGAAAGCAACCAAGGTCGTGCTCGATCTACATTCTATTGGCCTCACCCTGCCGCCTTCCGGCGTATTTACCCGGCTCACCGATCTGGAGCTGGTTCGCATACAGCTGCACGGTCCGTGTAGCCTCAGTGACGTTGTCTCTTCACCACGGTGTCCATCTTTGCGCCGCCTTTCCGTTTGCAGTGTCAGGGGTCTGGAGAACTTCACAATCCAGTCGGAATCTCTCGTACAATTGGAACTGAGGAGTTTGCATATCTTGCAGCAGCTCAATATCGTTGCCCTGTCTCTGCAAAAATTAAAAGTATTCCTTTGCTTCACCAATCCTCTGAATGAAGGTCAACCAGTTGCCAACATCTCAGCCCCTCAGCTGGTGACACTTGATTGGAGAAGTGCTTATGACCCTAGCTCCGTTTTGTTTGGCGAGATGCCAAATCTCCAACAACTGACCACCAATCCTCTTTTTGTATATGGAGACGATATATTTTCTGGACTTAATCATCACAGCTTGATGCTTCCACAACATTTTCACCACATCAGAAAATTTATTCTCATCCTTTTCTATCTGCAGGTATGTGAGTCAATCGATTTATAACCAAATTTTGAGAGTTAAACTTCAGGAATATATTGTTTGGAATACTTGTGAAGCCATACAAAATTGAAAATTCACAACAATGCACACAAAAGTGGACTTGTTTAATTAATGTGTGTTACTCACTTTGTAGAAAAATGAGATGTTTGCGTCCTTGTCCAACTATTGACCTATTGTATGACTTCCTATGAACCCGCAGGTCCGTGGCAACGAACGGTTCTTGATGGAAGAGATGACAAAGTTGCCTAACATTACCATCTTGGGACTGGTGGTATTGGCATGTGGACATTCCTTTGGAGCCAGCTCATTCCATGTTCTCAAGATGTCTAGCGGTATAAGAGAGCTGATGCTTCAACTTGTTACTCGGAGCGAGTCTAAGGTAACACTATACTTAGTTTAAAAGAAAATAAGCAGCAAGGAAGTTTGTGGCAAATCCCATTGCTTAGCAGCAAGTTGCCCTACTCTTGTTATTGGTTAGGGTTAGATACTGCAGTGTTGCTTATCAAACTTGACAAAGTAATATACTACTTGGATTCGTGACTTTGTAGTAGGTTTTATTTCAAAAGATTACAAGTCTGTTGGAAATGCCACAACAAATTGCTGGGGTCATATTTCCAGCAAAAAATTGGAACCCTCCTTTGATCTTCTGTAGCAAATATAAAATCTTCTTTTATTTTTATATGGGTTGATGATAGCATGATACATCAGCATTCGTATAAGGATTATAATCTGTTCGCTTTATGGTTTTCTATATGCATGCAACAATTATACTTTCAGCAATATTCTGGTTCTAGATTAATTTGTCTGCTTTTATTCTTTTGTAAATTTTGTTCCTGACATATCTAAGAGTATCCATGCAGTCTAATAATTTCTAGTTTCATGTCTCTTATCTCAAACCATATCAGTTAATCTTAAGCTGTTTTTCCTCTTGATTCAGGCATTTGTGTGCCAACCAGGTTGCATTTGTGCTGAGCCATCAAATTGGGAAACTGAGGACCTCGTGCTACCTTGCCTCAAAGAAGTAGCAATCAACGGTCTGAGAGGAACTGAACATGAACTCGCTCTTGTGGAAAGGTTATTCAAGTGGGCAACAACGCTAGAAAGGGTGACGATAATTTTCCATGACTCGATCTCTGAAAGCAACGGCGAAGAGTTCCGCCAGTTGTTACTAAGCTTCTCTAGGCCAGCAATATGTATGGAATTCTCGCATTGCGGAGGAAGTTTATCATTTGACTAGGGCACCGACTTTGCCGATTTTCTATGGTTGTCAGTTCAGTATGGCGTACTTTTGTGAGACTGAACTTCTGTAACTTGTTTAAGTCCAGCAACTTGTTTCCGGCATTTCTGAGACTAAACTCTGGTAGCATGTTTAATTCTAGAACTTGGTTTCAGTATCTGTGAGACTGAACTGCTGTAACCTCTTGTAACTTGTTAACTTTGAGACTTGGCTTTAGTATTTGTGAGGCTCAAGTGTGGTAGTAACTTGTTCAACTCTAGAAGCTTGTTCCCATACTGGATGCACATTGGTGGTTGTTTCCATGAATACATATTACTGAAACAGCAGAGTAAAATTGGCATATACTGAAACAGCAGAGTACTATACAAGCAACGACCTGATCTGATGTAAATTTCAAATGGCTGAATTCAAAGAGCTCTACAATATTGTGGATCGTAAGAATGGGATTTGAGGAGAGACTACTTCTCACAATTTGTTGGCGCGAATTGGTTGCATGAGTTCTCTGCAGCTATGTACACTACTCTGATGCATGCTGTAACTTATTCGCTTAACGGGCAGAGATCGGTGCAGAAAACGGCAGTGTCTCATCCAGCTCACAGTCGTTTTAGCTTTTCAGTTCTTCCCTCTGCGGTGTGTGGGTGGGTGTTCGTGTGAGAAAGATGTGATAGAACAGTCAAAAATGGGAAGCATTTTTTTTTTGCAGGAATTATTGGAAACAAGCAAAGACCGGAATCTAGTAGTAGTTGAGTCTCGTGCAAACTAAAAGCGCAGACTAAAATCGATTTCAGCCTCAATGCGACTAGGGAAAGCCTTCCTCCCCTCAATCAGCCCGTGGATTCGCCTCCCCTCCACCCACCGCTCTGGCGACCGGTGGCGGGGAGGTGATTTCTGGTGCCTCGGCTTTGGTTAGTAGATAGATAGGGTTTTAGTCATCGTAAAGGCGGCGCTCGGATGGATGGTGACGTTTCAGGCTCCGTTCCTACTCAAGTTCTTAAAAAGGGGCAGCAAAGTGTTTAAGAGCATCCCAACACTCACCGAAAATACTCCCCCAATAACCACTTATTGGATGTTCAAAAATGAATAACCATTTATCGAGGCTCCTGAATAACACTTTTCTGGTTATTAGGGATGGATGCTCCAACAGTTCCCCAATAATGAATCTCGACATACAAATGACCCATTTGTCAATTGGTAGGTGATGATGTGGCGGTGCTCTAGCGGCTATTCAGGTGGTCTGACGAAAGTTCGACTGCGGCAGCGTGTGTCCGGTGGTGGCGGCGGTGCTTCGACAGAGTCCAACAATGCTCTTGCGGTTGTATGTGACACTCCAATTTTTTTTTGTGATTTTGTTTTCAGAAAGAGCCTTGCTTGGTTTGAAGAAGGTCATTTAAACCCTTCCTAAAAACCCTCTTCCAAGTTTGCCTTCTCAATAATCTTTTCTTGGATTTAGTTTCTTTTAAAAAGAAAACCTTTTTGATTTTTGGTCTTTCATTTGATTTTGATCCACTCTGGTATACCATGCCTCCTATGGTAAAACTCCCCCAAAAACCTGTAACGCCCCGGATACAACTTTCCATATTAGTAACTCCGACTCTTGCCATTTCCGGCTATGTGATTTATTATTTCCTCCGTGGTTGGGTTTTTGTCTGTTGTTTTGCATTTTGTTCTCGTCTTGCATTTCATCTCATAGCATCATGCGCATTGCATCGGTATCGTTTTTATAAAACTTGCATCCGTTCGGGTTTCCCCGGTTCTCTCCGTTGTCCGTTCGGAGTCCAGACACACTCGCACGCGCCCGCGGCACCTCCGAAATATTATTTTGTAAGTGGCATAAAAATGTTCTCAGAATGGGTTGCAACTTGTCGTGCGGTCTTATTATAGTGTAAACAGGCCGCCTGCCAAGTTTCGTCGCATTCGAAGCTCGTTTGATAGCCCAACCGTTAAACCTATAACCGCAATATAGTCGGTTTAATCGTCGGACGTTTTCGGTATCCGGAAACCGTGTCGGGCCGCACTTCATCCCTCTCTTCTCAGCCCAAGGCATTCTACACAGCCCACCTACAGCCACCTAGTCCCCCCCTCTGTCCGGAGCGCTCGATCGCGATCCGAGGGTCCCGAAACCCCTCCTAACCCCCAAACCCTAGCAATTTTGCTATATATGGACACCCCCTTCCAAATTTGGCAGCCTACCCCCCTTCCCTTAACCCAACCGCAGCAATCCCCCCTCATCCTCGGGATCTCCGCCGCCTCCCACCTCCATTTCCGCGCCACCCGCTCCAGCTCCGCCACTTGGCGCCGCCGCCGGTGCGCCCCGAGCCAACCGGGGGCCGCCACGTCGCCCCTGCCTCCCTCCAGCGCCCCCATCCGCCCGAGCCCGCGCGCGGCCCGCGCAGGCCCATCTGGGCCCGAGTCGAACCCCGCGCTCCGCCGCGCAACGCCCGAGCGCCCCTGCGCTCCTGCCGCTTCGCGCCGCCGCCGTCTCACCGTGCCGCGCCGCCGCCCATCTCGTCAGCCGCCGTCTCCGCCGTCCCAGGCCAGCGCCGCTGCCTCCCATCCTTCTTCCCCTTCTTCTCCTCCTCCCTCATGGCCTCTCTCTCCCTCGCAGGTGCCGCCATGGTGTCCGAGCTCGCCGCCGCCGCTCGGATCTCGTCGCCAGAGCCCCTCCAAGCTCCTCCCACGGCCGGATCCGGCACCGCGCCACCCCGATCCGTCCGTTCCCCAGCCTCCCCGCCGCCTTCGGGCCTCGCCATCGCCTCGCCGCCGTCATCTTCTACCGCCGTCGCCGCCATGACCTAGCTCGGGAGCGAGCAGAGGAGCCGCTCGCTCCCCTGCGCGTTGACCTCGGCCCCGTGGGCCACGGCCCAACTCCCTCCAGGTCCAGCGGCCTCCAAGGCCCTTATGTAATATATGCTTCGAAAGATAATTCCGTTGTGAAGTGCAGCATGTGTGCAACTCTGACGATAATAGTGCAGATGGGGCCGGAGTAAATCCGGACAAGCAACAACTCCTACGCCAACTGAAGGCTAGTGAGAGCATGCTGACGAGGGTGAGGCAAGAGAAGAACAAACTTCAAGACGCCAATACCCAGCTGGGCGAGGAACTAAAGGATGTTCGTATTCAGCTAAAGGAGAATCAGTGACTTCGACGCAGCATTTTTAGTAAGTGCTTGAACGAATCTTCGAAAAAAGAATTCGGCGAGGAAATCGATTGACAGAGCTATGTCTGTAGGTCTGCTGACAGGTCGTCCTGCGGAGGAAATGCCCGGTTCAACGGGAGACCTTCTTCCCGAGCTGTTGCAACTGCACGAACGAGTTCGGCAGGCAATGCAGAGCGTCGTCCAGGCTATGTGGCCATCCCTCTCCATGCCCGAAGGCCTTGAGGAGCTTGCAAAGAAGCTGGAGGGAGTGCGGCAGCGCTTCCGGTTGTGGAAGATATCGGCCTGCCATCAAGGTGCCAGGGAGGCCTAGGCCATGGTGAAGACTCGGTACACGAAGGCTGAACCAAACCACATGGCCGAGGTTGGCCCTATGGGTCCTGAGGGAAAGGAGATCCCTGCCAGCTTAGTATATGGCCAGGTAGAGCTGGCTGCAAAGTATTCCCAACAGGACTGTAAATTAGACTGCTTGTTGGATGGTATTGAAAAAGAATATACCGAGTCGGATTGACTCTGTAATTTAAAATGACATGAAAAATGCCTTCTAGCCGGATTGTAGATCGTTTGTCATTGCGGACCTTTTCGCTTCGACCTCTGGACCCTATAGTCCGGAGTGTGTCCGAATACCCTCTCGATTATGTAAGAACCGGGGCATGCATGGAGACAAGGCGTAGGGGTCATAATTGCTTTAGCAGACAAGTGCCCAACTAGTTATGTTATATTACATGGTTAGTAAGAAACATCTTCCAGGGAGAATAGTTCCGTTAGGGGTTCCTTTCCCTGGGAGGCATGCCCTAAAGTGCATGTCCGAACTGCTAAAAAGAGCAGAAAAGCATCTGGGGGCGGATAAATAAACAAGAAAAATCATATTTTAGTTCACCGACCGAATATTCCCTTAAGAACGCTAGCTTTCGGCTTCACCCAGTCTGAGGTACACATCCGGCTGACCCGGCAGTAACAATCGCGGAGGTGCTCCCTTTACCACCTAGCCGAACGAACGGGAACGTAGGGGTAAGCACAGGAGACAGGCAACCCAGCTTGGCCAAAACTTAAGTCATATCGGTGCATATAATGGTGTATAAAAGGTTCATGCGGAAGTGTCACACATGTTTTGGGCATGAGGCCCGTTTTATATAAACTTCTGGTAAAGAAGCCCCCAGGTATGATGAGCGCGGGTGGCGCGTCAAGTATGTGCGAACAATGCACATGCAAGCCCCTAAGGGCTTGGAGAAAAAAAGGTAGGGAGAAGGAGAGAAATCCCGGACAACTAATGTGAAAAAATAAAAATAAAAAGGGGACAGGGGAAGGAGACGAACACGGAGTCCGGCGCTAGGCGTAGAATCTTCGTAGGCGTGCTGCGTTCCATGGGTTCGGCTCGAGTCGGTTGTCCGATGCGTTTCGCAGACGGTACGCTCCACCAGTTAGTACTTGGTCGGTTATGAAGGGACCCTCCCATTTGGGCTTTAGTTTGTCCTTTTTCTTGTCCGGCAGGCATAGAACTAGTTCGCCAACGTTATAAGTTTTGGTCCGTACTTCTCTGCTTTGATATCTTCGAGCCTGCTGTTGATAGAATGCGGAACGAGCTTTTGTCACGTCGCGCTCCTCCTCCAATGCATCCAAGCTATCCCGCCGATCGAGCTCGGCTTCTCTTTCTTCGTACATGCGCACTCGAGGTGAGTCATGAATTATGTCGCATGGCAGTACTGCCTCTGCGCCGTATACCATAAAAAATGGTGTGAATCCGGTAGTGCGATTCGGCGTGGTCTGCAGCCCCCAGAGTACGGAGTCAAGCTCTTCGACCCAGTGCGAGTTAGATTCCTTGAGGGATCACACTAGTCTGGGTTTG